TACGGCGAAGTTAGACGGAGTTAGGCTAAGTAGGGACAATGGGAGCAGAAGTGCGGCGAAGTTAGACGGAGTTAGGCTAAGTAGGGACAATGGGAGCAGAAGTGCGGCGATGTTAGGCGGAGTTAGTCGAAGGAGGAAGAGGATGGCCGAGGGCTCGGGGAAGTTGGACGAAGTGCGTTGAAGTACGTCAAAGCGCGAGAGGGTTGGATGAACGTCTAGGAGGAGTAGATAATATTAGCTGAGAAGATCGCTGAAGTTCTTCAGCGATCCTTGATTGTTGTCAGTAGTGAAAGACAGATAGAGATAGCTATAAATCAAGATACATTGCCATCAGTAGAACAAAACCCTAGTTAGAGTAACTACGCCGAAGTACGCCGTAGTTACACCCCTTTCGACGTCTGCGCCCTCCTGGTTGGGTGAGACATCGACTCAGAGCGTGAAGTTAGCCGAGGTTCGTCGACCGTCGGTCTATTAAGAAATAGTTGTTCGACGGCCGTGACAGGAACTGCGGCCCGACAACTTAACGACCTCAAGCAAACCGGGTCTGCTTCGGACTACTTCTCCGCCTTCCAGCGACATGTTGCGATTCTTAAGTGGTCTGATGATGGAAACCTAGTTGACCGAGCCAAGAAAGGACTAAAATCGCACCTTCTAGATGAAATTGCAAGACACGGTAGATCGTTTGGGACTGTGAAAGAGCTATTGGAGTTTATGATTCCCTTGGACAACCGCCTGTGGAGGAGACAAGTGGAGAAGGAGGCAGAGAGGAAAAGGGAAGGAGGGATAAGGACAACGACAGTGGTGGAAAGTCAGAGGACGGAGAAGAAAGAAGAGAAGAAATGGGAAAAGGGGCAACCTTCGGCGCAGGGTGGTGTCCAGGCGGCTATGATGTCGACGGTGGTAAAGAGTACACCGTCAAACATCGACGAAGTTCGCCGAAGATGGCCTAGGCCGAGCTCCGATCTGAGGGAGACAAGGAGGAAGGAGGGGAAGTGTACCGAGTGTGGTGGAGCAGGACATTGGCTGAAGGAATGCCCTGTAAGGGAGGCTAAGGTTAAGGTTGGACTGTTGCCTCCATGGGGGGAGAAGTTCGGAGAACGTGGTGGAGGATCGGGAGGGAACGCAGTACCTCTCGGACAGAGGAGGAACTTGAATGCGGTTGGAGGAGAAGTAGATTTGGAAGAGGACCAGGGAAAAGAAGAGGACCTGTCGCAGTAGGCGAGGCTCGGCGGGTCCGCCATATTCTCTCGGCCACCATTCCCAAACCCATAAAAGAAACACAGCTGATGGAGCCAGAGGATTGTGAATACAAAAATACACCACTCAGTACCCCTTGTTCATGCAATGTCGATAATCATCTCCTCATCCCTTCCGTTTCCAGAGATCAACCTAAATCGGACATTTTCATTAATGGAATAAAGCTAACTACGCTCTGGGACACTGGAGCTACTTGTTCATATATAAGCCCTAAGGCAGCAGCGAAGATAGGTGTAGAAAAGAGGCGATATCAGGTGAGCGTACCCGTTCACATGTTCGACGGCTCGGTGAGTGTCGCTGGACCCATCACCGAGTTTGTCGAAGTCGGATTTAGTTTGACGAAGGACGCCGAAGTGCGATCTGTTTGTCTCGATGTAACAACGCTCTGCGACGCAGATGTTGTGATAGGGTGGGATTGGATGAGGAAGGAAGGGGTTGTCCTTGATGGAAGAGACAACTCGGTGAAATTTCCCATCCCAACCCCACCAAGTGCGGCGAAGTTAGCGGCCATATGGCTGCCGACTCTGACGGACGCGATAGACCTCCGCGGCGAAGATGAGCTTGAAGAGCTGAGCCCGGAGGAACAAGACGAGTTGTTCCAGGTAGTTCCTGAACAATACCACCAGTACATTGACGTTTTTAATCCGAAGAAGGGAGGAGAGACCCTTCCCCCTTCAAGGTCCTACGATTTGAAGTTTGAGCTCAAGGAGGGGGCGAACCTTAAGGTCGCCTCCCTCTATGCTCAAGGAGAAGATCAGAGACGCGCGCTGAGAGACATACTAGATCGCGAAATCGCCGCTGGCCGAATTCGGGCAAGTAACTCGCCATACGGCTCACCAATGTTTATGATACCGAAGAAAGCCGAAGGACAATGGCGAATGGTCATCGACTATCGAAAACTGAACGAAGCGACCATACCAGATGCCTACCCTCTCCCTCTAATAGGTCAAATTACCGAAGAACTTGGAAAAGCAAGGTATTTCAGCAAACTAGATCTAATTGGAGCATACCAATTGTTGAGGGTGACAGGGGGACATGAACACCTGACGGCGTTCAGGACACAGTATGGTATGTTTGAATCTCTGGTTGTTCGTGATGGGCTGCGAAACGCCCCCGCGGTCTTCCAACACTTCCTAAATGAGGTGTTTAGAGAGCTACTAGGGAATGGAGTCGTGGTCTACATTGACGATATCCTCATTTATGGGAATACGTTGGAGGAATTACGAGGAACTACGGCGAAGGTCTTTGAGGTACTGCGGAAGGCGAGCCTGTACGTGAAAGCTAGTAAGTGCGAATTCGAAAGAGATTCGGTGGTGTTTCTGGGTTTCGTGGTATCCTCTAAAGGTGTATCGGTGAACCCAGAATACATTGATGCCATCACTTCCTTCCCACGTCCTAAGAATCTACGAGAGTCAAGGGGATTCATTGGAGTTGTAAGCTATTACAGGCGCTTTGTCCCCAACTTCTCGAAGATTGCTAGACCTATCAATGACTTGACAAGGAAGGAGGTACCATTTGTATGGGGAGTTGAACAGGAGTCAGCCTTCAAAGAGTTGAAGGCTAGGATGTGTACTGCGCCGGTATTAGCCCATTTTGACCCTACATTGAAGACGATATTACAGACAGATGCGTCGTTCTTCGGCTGGGGGTTCATAATTTCGCAGATCAACACGGCTGGTCAAGAACACCCGGTAGCTATTGAGTCTGGTGCTTTCAACACAGCTCAGCTGAATTATACGGTAGGAGAAAAGGAGTTCCTCGCTGTAGTGGAGGGTTTCAGAAGAAGGAGACACTTATTATTGCAGGTAGAAACCACAGTACTTACCGACCATCTAAACCTTACCTACTGGATGGAGCCGAAACAACTCAGTCCTCGGCAAGGTAGGTGGGTAGAGGAGCTAGCTAACTTCAGGTTTAAAATGGTTTATCGGCCAGGAACCCAGGCAAGTCTTCCAGATGGATTATCTAGACGGGCGGACTATCATTCCGGGAAAGGAAGTACCATGGTACAAGAGAGCAACCTTATCCAAGGTCTGCCGAAGTTCGACGAAGTTGACGCCACCACGTCGGAGTTGCGTCACCTCCTTCGAGCATTGCAAGGGACAAGGGAGGTAAAGGAAAATGATCTTGTGGACCCTATGGATCTAGTACTTGGAGTTAGGAGGACGAAGACATAGAAGGGGTCAGAGAAGAATTATTAGGAGTCGTTTGCGCTGAGTGTTCTCATCCTACGTGTAACGATAACGTGCAGGAACCAGGATCAATCACCGAACTACGCCGTAGTTCGCGGTCTCCTCTAATCCTTCGTGGGGGGTGGAACTCAAGAGGTTTCCTCACATTCGACGATCGCATTTATGTGCCGAACTACGCCGATGCTCGACTAAAGATAATGAAGACGCGGCATGACTCGGTCCTAGCGGGTCACCCAGGCTCAGCGAAGACTCTCGAGCTAGTCCTACGGGACTACGTTTGGGTTGGAGTAAGGAAGGATGTTGAAGATTACATCGCTGGATGTGCGGTGTGTCAGAGAGCAAAGACTAACAGGCAGAGACCCCATGGAGAGCTTAAACCACTGGAAGTGGCTACGAAGCCATGGTCCAGCATTTCGATGGATTTCATTGAAGAGCTCCCGAATTCCCATGGATACAATTCCATCTTAGTAGTGGTGGACCGGTTGACCAAATGGGCCATTTTTATCCCGACTACGACGAAGTTAACCGCAGCTGGCCTATCCGAGTTGATAATGGACTATGTGGTAGCTCAGCATGGGCTACCAGAGAACATAGTGTCTGACAGGGGATCGAAGTTTACCTCGAAATTTTGGAAGAACTTGACCGATAGTCTCGGGATAAGACTACATCTCTCTACTGCATATCATCCGCAGACTGATGGACAGACTGAACGAACCAACCAGTCCTTAGAGCTCTACCTTCGAATCTTCACTTCTTATCAGCAGAACGATTGGTCGAAGCTGCTTGCTCGAGCTAGCTTCGCCTACAACAACACCCATCATTCTGCGATAAATAAGACACCATTTTATGCGAACTATGGGTACCACCCTCAATGGGCTGAAGAAATCAAGGCCAGCAAAGTCGAAGTGCCCGCTGCTACGGTGGTGGTAAAAGACTTGACTGAAATACACAAAGATTGTATCGAAGGAATTGAGAAAGCTAATGAGAAGTACGCCGAAGGATACAATAGGAAACACCGGACTACGCCGAACTTCGCAGAAGGAGACCTAGTGATGCTGTCGTTAGAGAATATTAAGACGAAGAGACCAATGAAGAAGTTAGATGTTAAACAAAGTGGGCCGTACAAGGTAGTACGGCAGGTAGGTTCTCATGCTTGTAAATTGGAATTACCAGGAACGATGGCAGGTATCCATGATGTATTCCATGTCTCCTTGCTCCGTCCTTATCACCCTCCAATATTTCCTGGTCAGCAAGCTGAGCCACCTGGCCCAGTAGAAGTAGACAATGTGGGAGAGTCTTGGGAGGTAAAGGATATTGTAGACTCTAGAGTAAATAAGAGATCAGGAAAGTTAGAGTACTTGGTGGAGTGGTTAGGTTACGAAGGAACAGACGACTCAGTATCATGGGAACCAGTGGAGAACGTCGATGGAGCTGACGACATATTGGCGAAGTTCCACGAACTTCACCCTACTAAGCCGAAGGAGGGGCGACTGCGAAGGGCTAGGAGATAGAACGTACTGCATACAACATAGGATTACAGCTACGTACCGCTCACTTGTCCTTACTCTTACCCTTACCTTTTCCTTTTCCTTTCTCCTTCGATCTACTCGGTCCCGCGGGATTGGTGTGGAGGCTACCGATGACCGAAGGTAGATCGAGAGTCTCAGACGGGAACGCAGTAGAGAGAGAAGCATTCCATGCCCGATTCATAGCCCCGAAGAAGTCACCGAAGTCCTGGACATCTCGAGCAGCTTGCATGCTCGGGGTCCTCCACAGAGAACGTATGGTCCGTAGACACTCGAAGGGAAGACTGAGGAGGTCGAGAGCAGTCTGGGCGGAAGCTGGGACACGAGAACTACTACGGCGACCTAACCAGTCAAGGGACGGTGGTGGCTCATACGCCATAGGAGTGACCAGGAAGGGGGTGTCGAACAGTCTTCGGCGAACATCGGCTATCTCAGTAAGGCTTCGGCGAGAGACGTCCGCTAACCTCGTCCTTGCTCCGTCGTCCAGAGCCCCAGTGTTGACTGCATCTACTAACGCCGCAGTGAGATTGTTTAAAGCGTTAGCTTGACGAGAAGAGAAGTCAAGCAGGAGAGATGTATCATTTCGGGCGGCCTCGAGCTGAGTAGTGAGACCAAGGACGAGAGAACGATAAGTGGCGAATTCCTTTTCGTCCTCAGGAATACGGACGTCCAGGGAGATACGAGGGTGGACGAGGGACAACCGGGGAGCAGAGGGACCAGCACGCTGAGTATCTTCACCTTCCACATCACCGTCATTGAAGGCAACCTCCTTCCCTTTAGATTTCCCTTTTGATTTCTTTAAAGAAGACTTCGGTGTCCTCTGGGAAGCAGAGGGAGGGGTGACGGGAGGGGCCGCCGAAGTGGCCGGAGGAACAGAAGGACGCCGACTTCGGGTGCTGTGAGCCGGAGGAGAAGCTACCACTGGAGAGGACGGACGTGGCGCCGAAGGACGGGAGGCCGAAGGAGCAGAGGCCGAAGGACGGCGAGAAGACGAAGGAGGAACAGCCGGGAGACGTGATGGGCCGGCCACAGGAGCGAAGGGCGACGGCGACGGAGGCGACGGGCGGAGGTCCGGCGAAGTACGGCGAACCGACCGGAGAGACGAAGACGGTACCCGCGAACGGGGGACAGACGCTGGAGTCTGGGGAGGGGGGAGAGGAGAAGCGTCGAAGGGACGGGGCGGGATGTCCCGGGCAGAGGAAACGGGACAGAAGGAGCAGGGGCCAGACGTGCATGAAGCACAACGGAGGGCCTTGTTGTGTGGCCTGACTGCCTTGAGGCAGGGCCAGTTTGGACGATTATACGTGATAATCTCACGTCTACTAATTAGCAGGAGTAACTTCGGAGTAGTACGAATAGGTGGACTCACCGGCAACGATCACACGCTTCGTCAACACCAACCGCGATCCAACGACCAGGCTCGGACTTCATCTTCTCCCACAAGTACTCTTCTTCCCGCAGTGATCTCTTCACCCGTTTGGGCGAAGGCTCCCCTCTGGGAGAAGGGGGGGGAGCAGCGACGGGGGGGGCGGCAGCAGGACCGGCAGCAGGACCGGCGGCGGCGGCGGCGGCAGCAGCGGCGGCAGCGGCGATGGCGTTGGGGGGGGGGAGAACCCCGGAAGAGGAAGAAGAAGAGGAAGAAGAAGAAGAGGAAGAAGAAGAAGAGGAAGAAGAAGAAGAGGAGAGGGAACGGCGTCGTTTCTGGCCCACAATTTGAGCAGGGGGAGGGGCAGGAGCGGCTGCGAGTTAGCAATGTCTTAGAGAGCTAAAGAACAGATAAACAAGGCCAAGTTCGGCGAAGGTATAGGAGGTTGGGCGAAGAACTCACACTCAGGACTATCAACATTGTTATCCTCTACACTAACCGCCACCATATCATCATCTGAGATATCTTCTAACTCAGTTTCACCCTCACGATCCTGATCCTCCTCATCACTATAATCACCCCCTTTTCCTTCGAAGTCTGACTGATCGTCCGACTCCGAACCACTGAGCGACTCCTGGTCGGAGGAGGACGGAGACTCACCAGGACGAAAGGCGGGCGTCCTGCGGCGAGGGCTGGCGGTAGGAGGAGAAGCGGAGGGAGAACGGGCGGGAGAACCGGCAGGAGGACTGGCGGGAGGAGAAGCAGAGCGAGGAGGCGAGGCGGCGCCAGACGGTTCCCCCAGGGAAAGAGTGCCGAGGCCAAGAGAGGAAACTTGGCGAGACCTATCACCGAAGGAAACTGAACGTCAGCCAAGTGCGGCGAAGTGCGGTAAGTACAGGGGAAAGACTCACGAGCAGACGACACCATACCACCAAAGTTCCTCATGGCGGCGAAAGGGTTAGAGGTGGGAGTAGGAGGGGCCATGACGTTAAAAATACTTAAAGAAATAAAAGATGATACGTCGAGGTAACAAATCCGTTTTCTAAGCGCGAGAGATAGAAAGTTTTGAAAACAGATGGGGAAGAGAGAGAAGGACGATGAACTGCTCAGTACTTAGTATAACTCGAGTTACCCCTCCGTCGTCAACATGCGGCATCCTTCGCGTTTCATCAACAAAAGGCATCGCAGGGACGATCAAAATTCCCACGCTATAGTGTCTCATCTCAATATAAACGAGGGTTACTTCGACAAACTACGGTGTTGTTCGGCTGCCATTCAGGAAGCGTGTCTCACCTACAAAAGACACAGGGCTTCTTACGGCAAACCTCGACGAAGTTAGGGGAGTCTCATTGTCGGGTTCTGGAGTGAAAGGAGGCCCAACTACGAAGTGCGGCGCAAAGAACAGAAGAGTGAAGGTTGGTCGTGGGGAGGGAGAGAATGGGGGTACTACGCTGCTAAGTTCTCTTGCCACAACAGAGGTGTAATCGCTCACGAGGACGTTCGCGGCTAAAGAAGGGGGCGACTGTCACGAACTACGTCGTGACACCTCGATTACTCCACCAACAATGACCCTCCTTTGGCCATCAAAACCCCATCACGCCTTAACCTCTTTACTCTACACGTAACTCAGGACTTCTGACACCAAGTATGGCGAAGTTAGACGGAGTTAGGCTAAGTAGGGACAATGGGAGCAGAAGTACGGCGAAGTTAGACGGGGTTAGGCTAAGTAGGGACAATGGGAGCAGAAGTGCGGCGATGTTAGGCGGAGTTAGGCTAAGTAGGGACAATGGGAGCAGAAGTGCGGCGATGTTAGGCGGAGTTAGTCGAAGGAGGAAGAGGATGGCCGAGGGCTCGGGGAAGTTGGACGAAGTGCGTTGAAGTACGTCAAAGCGCGAGAGGGTTGGATGAACGTCTAGGAGGAGTAGATAATATTAGCTGAGAAGATCGCTGAAGTTCTTCAGCGATCCTTGATTGTTGTCAGTAGTGAAAGACAGATAGAGATAGCTATAAATCAAGCTACATCGCCATCAGTAGAACAAAACCCTAGTTAGAGTAACTACGCCGAAGTACGCCGTAGTTACACCCCTTTCGACGTCTGCGCCCTCCTGGTTGGGTGAGACATCGACTCAGAGCGTGAAGTTAGCCGAGGTTCGTCGACCGTCGGTCTATTAAGAAATAGTTGTTCGACGGCCGTGACAGCGAAGTACTCGGCGGCCGTATCAGTCTGTCTTAACTCTTGCAGTTTTCGCATAGCTGTCCCTGCCATGTTACTGTCTCCAAACTGGGTTCGTAAGTGCTGAACGAATTTGTCGTAGCTCTCTAGCCAGTCGGTCAAATTCCATATGTTTGGATTGGTTATGGCTGGAGTTAGAAGCATTTGAGGGGTGCCTCGAAGATACCCGTACATGAACAGGATCTTCCTGCGATCCGTACCATACTCGGATCCTTTGAATTCGAAATTCATGTGGCAGGCCGCCAAGAAATTGTCGAGTTTGCCTCGTTCCCCACTGAAGGTGGGTGGATCTGCACACCGGGTCCTTCCCCATCGTTCGTTGCGGACAGGTGTTTCTTCCAAGTTTGGTTTACTTTCTTCCAATTCGATCGTAGTCGACCGCTTTGATGTAGACTGGTTCTGTCGGTCAGCTTTAATCGTAGCTAATTCTTCCTTTAATGCATTCTGTTCTCTCTGTTGTGTAGTCATAATGGCTAACAATTGTGACAACTGCTGGGCTAATTCATTCAGCGGATCTGGGGCAGGGGTGATGGGAAGAGAGTCATGTAAAAACCGTACTTCTCGAGGAACTTGGTGGTAAATCAGTCTCTGGGACCAGCCCTCCTTCCAAAGGCTCCTCTCCAGGTATCATGTTGCGTGCTTTTCCTCTGGTAAGCATAAAATCCTTCTCTGATTCGACCCAAGGCGCGTAAGGCTGATTCTTCAACTTGTAACGGTACTGGAAACACAATGACTAGGTCGCAGGTTGGGTCGAAGTTGATGGAACTCTCGTAGAAATCTATGTGTCTCTGGTGCTAATGGATTGTGTCTCCTCTGCAATCGATGTAGCCAAAGAATGATATTGAAGAATCAGCAAAGGTGGTACTTTGCTGATTGTACTATATACTTGTCTACAGGTATTCGTGTCCTCTCTCAGTCCTACTGCAAGCGTCTATGTACATACTCGGACAGGTGAAAAACCGCTTTTGAGCAAACCCAGTGGGGAAATCTCGAAAAGGGAAAACCCGTCCCTACCTACTGCAGCACTGCCTCCAACTCTCGCCGTTCTCCTTCCTAATCCGTCGAGTTCGATGGATGTCCCTCGAGTTGTGTTACTCCGTAACATTTCACTACTGACAACAATCAAGGATTGCTGAAGAACTTCAGCAATCTTCTCAGCTAATATTATCTATTCCTCCTAGACGTTCACCCAACCCTCTCGCGCTTTGACGTACTTCAACGCACTTTGTCCAACTTCCCCAAGTCCCCGGCCCTCCTCCTCCTCCTTCGACTAACTCCCCCTTACTTTGCTGTCCTTATGCTCCAGGCCCCCGTATACCAGATTCTCCCGTTGTACTTCGCTGTAGTTGGTCTCAGATGTCCTGAGTCATGTGTAGAGTAAAGAGGTTAAGACGTGATAGGGGTTTTGATGGTCAAAGGAGGGTCATTGTTGTGGAATGATTGAGGTGTCACGACGTAGTTCGTGACACCTACTCTGTATCTCTTGGTATCCTTCTCCTAACTTTGCCGTAGTTCTCCGCCAGGCGGGGTTGTCGTGACTAATAATCCCTAGGTTGTTGTAACTTTGTCGTAGTTGGTCTCAGTGGTGCGGGTTATGGTGGTTGATGATCGATAGCGGTTTGGTGAGGGTGAAAGGAGGGTTGGTGATGGTAGTTGTCAGGGATGTCATGACATGGTTGGTGATAATGGACTTTCTAGGATTATTTTACTTGTCTTACATCTTCATAATGTGCAATATTGATGAAGTGCAGGTTTCTGGGTGAGTAGTGACAGGATTTGGGGGAAATGGCCAGATTTTTGTTGGGATTAATTCGAGGTCCGTCAGGATTATCCCTACGCGCCACTCAAATGGTTTGATATCGTACACAACTCGTAAGCTTCTGTCACGGATATACGACTGCTGACGAGGAAGCCGCAATGGCATGCCTCAAACAGTCTTAAAGGCAACAGTAAGTTAGAGTAGAGAAATGAAATAGATGATGACAATTGATCAGAGAGACGGAGAAACAAACAGAGAGCTAGAACCACTATTTATAGACAAAATCCTCCAAACTGAGCCTAAAACTCCTTCCTCTCCTCTCCTACTTCCTGAGGGGAAACCCTGAGGAAACCCTGTATCAAAAACAGCATTTTAAACGACCTTACAGAAAGCTCTGAATCATCCTGGAAGCCCCCAAAAGAGATCTCTTCATCAAAGGTTGAATCCATGTGTTACAACCCTGTCACTCTACGACCTATTCGCCATCATCGCCTACTTCGACAGGCTCGTAACACCTACAACACCTTACAACATCTCTTCGACCTCTTGCTCCACAACTCGCTACATCCTTCATACTTCACCACCCTGGTGTCACTGTCGTCACCTTGACATCACCCCGCGCCACTGTGGTACAGTACAAGCCATGGTGGCACCCCTACAACACGGCCCGCACCACACTGGAGGAGCCTGACGACACCTTGACACCACTATGGGTCAGCATGGGTCAGTACGGATCACCCTGGGTCAAACTGACACCACCTTGGGTCAGGCTGGTGTCACTACGGATCAGGCTGGGTCAGCACGGATCAGCATGGGACGGGACCATTCAGGCTGGCGTCAGGATGACGACGCCCGGAGAGGTGGCGCTACACCGGGGGGACCAAATGATGGATATATAAGGAGCACATTTTGTCTTGATCCTCTTCAAGGATCAATCTATCATAAGTTACAAAAGTGACAATAGTCTTCCATAGGCCTTCCATAGTCTTGACATACATCTTCGGTCTACTTCGCTTCGCTCGCCGACATTTCGGGATCCTTCGAGCATACCTTCGGTCACATCGTCTTTTCGACCACATCCCTTCGATCTTTGATCTCATCCCTCGATCTTTGATCACATTCTTCGATCTTCAACATCACACCTCGATCCCTTCTACCTTCAACATCTCAATCTTCAACCACACAAGTCTAGTGGTTGTGCAACTTCGCCTCCGCACAACCCGAGCTCGCCGATTACGACTTCCGCCGTCTACTCTTTGCTGGCCCAAGGCCTGCCAGGTTTGAGTCGTAACACCATGAGAAAAAACACAAATAAAGGATCCATGAAATGTGATCCTTTGATACCTGAAACTCTCCTATGCTACCTGGATGAGCTCTGATCTTTCAGGGGGTTCAGAGGGTGTACCTTAGGCGCCCACATCATGCAGATTTTGACTCAAAAATCCCTGGTTCAGTCCTGCGGGTACGGTAGAGGTTCGAGAGGTTCAAATATAGGCTAAATATGCTTGGTAGAGTGGTTTTCCTCCTGGTTTTCTCAGTTGAGTCGTTTGCACTGCTGAAAGAGATGAAACCTCTGACCATTAGTACGTACTCCTCATCACTAGTGTGTACTCTTCATCAGTGGCGTACACTTCTCAATCAGTAGCGGGTGTGTATTGATCAGTAGCGTGTTTTCCATATTCAAACACGTGTTTTCACAAGGCTATCCTGACGACCGGTTGACCGGTTGATCCTGTGGTTGACCCGGTGGCTGACCCGGTGATTGATCCTGTGATTGATCTGGCGAACCAGTTATTTGGTGACCGAGGGAGTTGTCCTACCGTTGACGGACTTACGTACTCTCCTATGATGTCAGTGGCATGATTGCTGATAAAGGTACCTGTGATTGATCACTAATTGAGGTACCCGTAATTGATGGCTAATTAAGGCACTAATGAGTAATTAAGCAATTGATGGCTAATGATCGATCATTGATGATTCTGTTGTTTGTTG